ACTCCTCCTCCTCGTCTCCTCCCTCCTCGCTCCGCTCCTCCTCCGCCTCCTCCTCCCCCGCCTCCTCCTCCGCCTCCTCCTCCTCCTCCTCCTCCTCGTCCTCGTCCTCATCCTCCACGGCGAGCCAAGCCCCCGGCGAACCGAGACCCTGACGAACCGAGTCCGTGCCCATGGGGATGGGGGATAAGAGGGCCTGGGTGGGCCCCAAAGATCCGACGTCTTGACGTTTTTTCGGGACGCGGGCCCCCGAATTCCCGACTACCTTCAAGTCGGGCCTGTCCCTCTACGGGAGGAAGATCCAAGAGTAGTAAAAAAATGGTCTGGGGACGATGCCTTGCGTAGTTGTGGACCATCTTTGAATATGTTTGTTGGATCATTTTTAATTGTTCCTCGTAAGCCCCCGTGTAGGGGCCCAGGCCCGACTTAAGACTACCTCCCCAGGACCGTTTCTTCCTCCCGAGTCCTTTTTTGGCGGTCCCGAGGCCCGGCGAGGGCCCCCTGGAGGCCAAGCGCGACCAACAACTTCCGCCTCGACTTTTGTCGCGACGCCCGATGTCTGGGGCTGCACGCTGATCAGCTCGAGGCTAGTTTTTGCCCACGCGGGGTCCCCAGAGGTCTCGACCTGCTCCCTGGGACCAGTTTTTCATCCGGGGTCGTTTTGTTGACGGTCCGGGGGCCCGGCGAGGGCCCCAGAGGCCGAAACTTGCGACCAACCTCCGCTTTGATTTTGTTCAACGCGTTGGCTCTATGGTGATGGGCTTGGTTTCCACCACCACCACCACCACCACAAGTTGGAGGGCGAGGGTGTCCTCCTCCTACTCCTCCTCCTCTTCCTCCTCTTTCTCCTCCTCGACCTCCCCCTCCTCCTTCACCACCTCCTCCTCCTCCTCTTCGTCCTCCTCCTCCTCCTCCTCCACCTCCTCTCCCCCTCCAGCTTATGGTGGTGGTGGTGGAAAGCAGGCCCATCCTCTGGATGCTCCGCAGCAGGGCCTTCCTGCGCTCCTTCCCGCGCTTCACGCCCACGCCGCTCGCGGGCGGCGCCCTGCTCCTCGCCCTGCCCGCGCTGCTGGCGGGCGCCGCCGCGGCGCGGCCCGCGGCGGTGCGCACGCAGCGCGAGTGGCCGGCGGGCGTGCCCCTCGATGGGCCGATTTGCCGCCACCGCTACCACCCCAGACATCGGGCGTCTCGAAAAGATCGACATGGAGGTGTTTTTGTCGTCGTTTTTGAGTTTTTTTTGTCGTTTTTGGCCTCTGGGGGCCCTCGCCGGGCCTCGGGACCCTTAAAAAAAGGACTCGGGATGAAAAACTGGTCCCGGGGAAGTAGTCAGGAGGTCGGGGGCCCGTGTCTCGAAGAAATCGAGACGTCGGGTGTTTGGGACCATAGCTAGGACGGGGGAGAAGGGAGGATGAACAGGTCTTTCTTCTTCTTCTTCTTCTCCTCCTCCTCCTCCTCCTCCTCTTCCTCCTCCTCCTCCTTCTCTTCCTCCTCCTCCTCCGCCTCTCCCCCCTCTTCCTCCTCCTCCTCCTCTCCCCTCCTCCTCCTTCCTTCCTCCTCATCTCGTCCTCCTCCCTCCTCCTCCTCCTCCTCACTCCTCCTCCTCCTCCTCCTCCTCCTCCTCCTCCTCCTCCCCCTCCTACCTATGGTAGCGGTGGTGGAAAAGCGGCCCATCGCCCCTCGCGCGCGCCGCCGGGCGCGTCAACCTGGGGCCGGAGATCCCGTCTCGGCAGCACGCAGGGAGCGAGGCCCTTCCCTCATGTCCTGGCGTCGTATCCCCAGACCCCCTCGAGCCTTGAACAAATCATAACGGGACGTTTTTCGCCACGTTCGGCCTCTGTGGGCCCTCGCCGGGCCTCGGGACGGTCCAAAAACCAGTCGGGAGGGAAAGCCGATGTCGGGGACTGGGTCGAAACAGTTGGGGGCCCGTGTCACGAAACATCGTGAAGTCGGGGGCCTGGGTTGCTGTGCTTGTAACGGGGGCTTTTGCGCCGTCTCGGGCCCCGCAGGGCCCTCCACGGATCGAGCCTGGGCCAAAGAGTGGCACAGAGAGATGGGGTCGGGGGTTCCGGGCGCGATGTTTCGCGGAGCTGCCATGCTTCTGGGAAGTCTATACTCTCGGGCTCGCTGCGCGGGTTGGAGTCGGCCCGGGGTCTGAGGTGGCCCAGCACCGGCTCTGGCCGGGAGGATCAGCGGGGAGGCGAGGTCCGAGGTGCTTGGTTCTAAAGGGTGCTTGCCGTTGTCGGCCTCGTGGGGCCGTTTCCCGGCCCCAGGACCGCCGAAGACGGATGCGGGGTGAGAATTCGCACAAGATGGACTGGGTTCCCAGATGGAGTACGAGCAGATGGAGTCGGAGGATCGCGCCACACACATCGCCGATGCCTTGGCGATGCGGCTCGATGCGGAGCCCAACTTTCTCCACGCCGGCTGCGCCGATGCGTCGCCGACGTCGCCGATGCGTCGGATCCTTCGACCCCATCTCGTCAGACCCCACCAAGAGGAGGCCTCCTTAGAGACTCCTCCGAGCTGGTATGGCTTCGGGTGGCGCACGGGCTGCTCCTCTGGGTAGCCCCAGCTGGCCTCGACAGGCCCCCCGAGAAGGCTAAGGCGACGATCGGCACGCCGCGCGCCAGTGGCCGCTCCTCCGGGGCTTCCTGGGATGCGAACCAACGAAACCCTGCTGCTACACGTTTGAATCCTCCTCCCCTCCTCCTCCTCACTCCTCCTCCTCCTCTCCCTCCACTCCTCCTCCCCCCCATCCCTCCTCCATCCTCCTCCTCCTCCTCCTACTCCCCTCCCTCCTCCACCTCCTCCTCCTCTTTCTCCTCATCCTCCGCCTCCTCCTCCTCCTCCTCCTCCTCCTCCTCCTCCTCCCTCGACACCTCACCCCCAAGTTATCGGCCACGCAATTGGGACAGACGCATCACCACACACCGGAGCCACATTTTGTTGCGGCCAGTTGTATTTTCTTTCGGGTGTAACGGCGTCTCCGTGAATTCATGCCGCACCGCTCCCCAGAGTAGGGACTCACTTTTTGCACATTCAAACGGCCGCAAATCAGCACGGAAATTTGCAACTACCCAGATTTTAGGCGTACCGTCCCATCCGCTATCTCCCCACGCCACGCAAGGCGCTGCAAATGTCACGGGGACGGTGCGGCGCAGCAGGCGTTAAAAGTATGAAAGGAATTTGCGCCCAAACCAGCGTTTAAATTGTTAAAGCAGTTTTGGCTGAAGGGATCGCGCGCATGGAGTGCGCGTGCCGTGCGATGCAACACAGCAAACTACATTGGACACCTAGGTCTGACACGCGTCTTCCCTCGATCCAGCGAGAAATTGTTGGGATCTGGGGAGGTCCAATTCTTCCTGTCACCCTGGGGTGGAGATGGCCGCAGGCCATATCACATGGGGTTAAGGCGCGCCTTAAGCCATTCCACCTTCAGTCCTCCTCCGCCCTCCTCTCCTTCCTCCTCCTCCTCCTCCCCTCCTCTTCCCTCCTCCTCCTCCTCCCCGCCCTCCCTCCTCCTCCTTATCCACCTCACACCCTCCCCCTCCCCCTCCCCCTCCTCCTCCCCGCCTCCTCCTCCTCCTCCTCCTCCTCCTCCTCCTCCTCGTCCTCCTCCTCCTACTCCTCCCCCTCAGGATTTAGAAAACACCCCGAGTGGAGCCCCAGACCACATCGTTCTGCGCTACGTGTCGAGCCGAGTCGATCCGTGAAGATCCCGGGGCTCGAGGCCCGGCGAGACCGCGCGGCGCCAAAACAAAGAATCCTCGCGGGTGCCTCGGGGTCCCGCCCGGGGCCGCTCTCTGTGCGCAGCCGTCCGTCGGCCACTTGGTCGCGCTTCTGCTCGGTGCCGCGGGAGGCGCTGGTGGAGAGGCTGCGCCGTCTCCTGGGCGAGGACGTGCCCTTCGCGAGCTTCTCATAGTAGGGGGGGGGGGGGGGGGGGGGGGCGGGGCCTTCGACCGCGCGGTGATAGCCTGCGCGCCAGCATCTCCAGTGCAAAACGATGGCATCGACACACAACACACACACGCACACACACAACAAAACACTAACAAATTCAAAAAAAATATACACACGGATGTTGGAATGAAGAGGGGGGGGCGCATTGGGGGGCGGGGGATCTCATTTGAGTTGCCTTGGAGGGCTCCAGTGTGGCCTGGGCAAAAGGCCGCCCTTCATGGCTTGTCGGGGGGGGGGTCTAAACTTGCTCGTCTGGGAGCGGTGTGACCCCCTCCCTGTGATTACGACATCTGGAGTAAACTGTCGGCGGTCTGCGCGGAGCTCTTGGATCGGCGCTGGAGCACCTCCCTGAGGCGCCACCACGTGGCTCCAGCGTCGATCCGACAAGACCGCGCGGACCCACGAATTTGTATGTTCATGTGGAGGCCCATGCCAAGAGACACCCTGCTTGCCTCCAGGGGGCCCTGGGTTCCTTGGGTGCTGATGGTTGTTGGCGATGGGAAACGTGAGGTCCACACACCAAGAATCGACGGAAGCCCTGGGAGCTCAGGGTCGGGTTTCTTGTGGAAGGTTTCTTGTGGACTGGCCTCCACTGTACTTGGTAGTCCCCAAACGTGGTGGTGACAACACCTGGCAGTGAGTCTCGGGCGATTTGGTGTCACCACCCGGTTTGGGGACTCGTGCGGTTCCCCGAGGATGCCCCGAACGTTGGTGGGTCCAGGAGTCACAGAACCCGGCGCCGACCCCGCGTCCCCAGACCCAGCGGTGACCTTTTTGGGGATTCCAGGTCGCCACCTGGTATCTCACCACCCGGTTCCCAGACCCCCGACGTCATGATTTTTTCATGACGCGACCCCCAGAGGTCCGGACCTATTCGCCGGGACCGGTTTTTCACCCCGAGTCGTTTTTTGACGGTCCCGAGGGCCGGTAAGGGCCCCCGGTGGCCGAAAACATAGAAAAACCTCCCGTCGTGATTTTTTCATGACTCGAGGGGGTCTGGGGTTGGGGGTTCCCAGTGTACGACACCTTGTTTTGTCCCTCGGAGCACGGGGCGGCCAGCTCGGGCCCTTTGCCCCGGTCCCGTCGCCGTCGCCGGGCGCCCCCGCTCGGAGGGCGGGCGCCGTATGCTCGGGCTCGGCGACCGGGCGGGGGGATGGCGCACGGGGGGGGGGGGGGCTTCGGCCTGCTGAGGAGTGCGGGGGCTTCTCGGAAGCCAGGAGAGGCCCTTCTCGGAAGGGTTCCCCCGACTTTTGGTGGGGCCCCTCGGAGTCCAGCCGGGCACGGTCCCTCCACAGGAGGAGCATCGGACAACAGTGAAATCATACCCGCACCATTCTGGAGCATGTTTGACGATGTTGTACGTTTCGTCCGGAAGCCCCTTGTAGGGGGAAACCTGCCCGACCTAACCTGAGAGCCTGGAGGGGCTTCTGTAAGAATCGGGGGTGGACAGAACCCCCAACAGTGACACGTCGATTAGTGAATTGTCCGTTTTCGGTTCTCGAGGGGGCGCCGTGGTCGTTATTTTCCAGGCTTGCGCCCGCCAGGTTTGGGCCTCAGGTAGTTCTCACTAAACCACGTTTTACTAAAGGGGGGGTTGTCCATTCCCGAAAAGAAGAGCCCCCTGCCTTCTCTCCGAAGGCGCCCCCTGCCTCCTCGGGAGGCCGCCCCTCCCCGCGCCACAGCCTCGTGCCCGCCGCCAGAGCAGGGGGCCGCCCTCCCCGCGCCACAGCCTCGCCACAGCCTCGTGCCCGCCGCCAGAGCAGGGCCCAGCTGCAGTTCGCCTGACCCAGAGATCCGACGTCGCGATTTTTCATTACGAGGAGGAGGAGGAGAAAGGAGGAGAGAGAAAGAGGAGGAGGAGGAGGAGGAGGAGGACGAGGAGGAGGAGGAGGGAGGAGGATGAGGAACGACGACGAGGAGACGAGGAGCAGGATAGGGGGGAGGAGGGAGGAGGGGATGAGGAGGATGTGGAGGAGGATGGAGGAGGAGAGGTGGAGGTGGAGGAGGAGGAGGAGGAGGAGGTGGAGGAGGTGGAGGAGGAGGGAGGAGGAGATGTGGAGGGATGAGGAGGAGGAGGAGGTGGAGGAGGAGGAGGAGGACCTCCTCATCCTCCGCCTCTCCCCCTCCTACAGCTCTGGTACCCAGAGATCTTATGTTGTGATTTTTCAAGACGGGGCCCATCCCCCAGGACTGGTTTTGCGCCCGAGTGATTTTTTGACGGTCCCGAGGCCTGGCGAGGGCCCCGGCCGAAAGCAGGGAAAAAGATTACCTCCGTCTCGATGTTTGTCACTGCGCTGGATCTCTGGGAGTCTCCCGACTCCTCTTTGGGGGAGCTGCTCTGTGCTGCGCGGCGCCGCTCGTCGACGGGTCACCGGCCGCGTGCCGCGCTGCAGGCGCTCCGCCTGCCGTCTTCGGGGCCGCCGCCCCTCCTGAGGCAGCTGCGTCCCTGGGGCACGCCCCGGACCTCACGAACAGCCCGTCTGGCTCCTGGGACATCGCCACCTCGTCTCGAAGAGGAAGGAAATCCGAGGCGGGAATTCATACACGACCACCGCCTGGAGGGTCAGTTTTCGGAGCCTCGGCAGGCGGTGGATACGGACATATTCGGGCCACCGGGGGCCGAAGTATATCCATATCCACCGCCCGCTAGGGCATCAGGACGTCGGTTCCCAGGCGGTGTATATGGATAAATCCCTGCCTCTCATGAAAGCGCCATGCACATAAGCTGTTGGCTCTTCGCGCGGAGCGCCAAAAGTTTATGGTTGTGGCGCTTTGTTTTGCTTCCTCTGTTGTCGTCTCCTCCTGCCACCTGCGCAGATTTTCGAAGCCTTTTTTTCTTTGCTCCAGGCGTAACAGTGGCTTCCACGGGGGCACGCGCCCTCATAACGCTGGCTGCGGGTGGCACGCCGCAGCCGACGGAGAAAAAGAGGCAGCAGCGCAGGAGCAGCAGCTGCGGCAGTTTGCGTGCATCAGGTCGGGCGTGTCCCCCTGCAGGAGGATTTTGGACGAAGAATAAGAAATACGCAAAACTACCCCCCAAATGCGTCAACCTGCTACAAAAATAGTCCCCAGACCATTTTTTGACTATTTCTGAAGATTCCCCCTGTAGAGGGACAGGCCCGACGTAATGCGTGCATCAGCCCCCACGCATCACATATGCAGATCTTCCGCGTAGTCAAACCAACATACTAATACTCAACGGCACCGCAACGGGTCCTTGCTAACGGGTACTTTGCAATTTTGCCGAACGTTGCCACTTTCGGGCCTCTTTCTGGCAATGCAGCTTTGCCCACATCGGGAAGGGTTGGATTCGCTAGGTCACTGGCCAAAGTATCCGTTAGTGGATCCCCGTCTGATGGGCGCTGAAATGCTAGATGTGGGTCGCCCCCCAGGGGAGACGCGCGCACCGATAATTCTTGTTGTGTATGCGTCCTGGCGAGCGTTTTCTGGCCAAACCGCTCGGGAGACGATATACTACAAGATGGGTCTACTAGATGTTCGGGTTGGAGGCGCGCCTCCAAGGAGGACATCTAGTATTAGTATGTTATGTGCGTCCCATGCTTGCGGCCATGGTCATTGAGTCAGCACCCACCCACACCAATCTGGTCACCCCGAAAATGACAATTTCAGGGACTGGGCGAATTATAGCGGGCAGTTGAAGCGAGGGCATCCTTTCGTACGCACCCACGCGAACGTCTTTACAACGTATGCAGTGGCATGGCTCGAAGCCATCTTCAGAGAAAAAAAGGGAGTAGATGTTTCCAGTATCCTATCGAACACTTCTGCTGGTCATAGCTGGTGGCCCCATCTAGTGCTGCCACAAGCGGAGTGGCACCCACCCAGCGTTGTCAAGCGTAGCGGTCCAAAGCCTTGCACTTCTCTATTCAGCCTTGGATGTGCTCGGCGGGGTGGAGTAGCAAGGGCATCGTAAGACAGCTGTGCCTTGTGTGCCTGGCGCGCGGTAATTCTAAAACGTGCACGTGCGCTTCACTCGCTGGCAGGCGCTGCCCGCGCGCGGCATGGCTTCCAGCACCTCGTGCCAGAATCCGGGCGAAGGAGGAGGAGGAGGCGGAGGAGGAGGACGGGGAGTGGGAGGAGGAGGAGGAGGAGGAGGGGGAGAAGAAGCACGAGGAGGAGGAGAAGGAAGAGGAGGAGGAGGAGGCGGAGAATGAGGAGGAGGAGTAAGGAGGAGGAGGAGAGGGAGGAGGTCTAGGAAGCTAGGGTGCGCTCGCGTCATATCTGACGTCCTATACCCCTCCCGTCCCAATCCCCTTAAATTTAAATAACCCTTACCAATGGCGGCTGATTCTCTCGCTCCGCGGACTAGCGTGTCGTAGCGGTAGCGCGGGACCTGTGGCTAGCTGCGGCGCGCCCCAGCGTTTGGCGTAGTGGTGGGGGGTCTCGTGCGTGCCGTCGTGCTGCTGTGCGTGTGTGCGTGGGTTGAGGTCGTGGTTGTGTGGTGGTTGTGGTGGTGGTGGTGGTGTTGGGTGGGTGTGGTCATGGTTCTGTGTTTGCCCTGGGTGGTAAGGCTTGAGTGCTAGAGGTTGGTGCTCTGGTGCTCCTGGTGCTGGTGCTGGTGCTGGTGCTGGTGCTGGTGCTGGTGCTGGTGCTGGTGCTGGTGGTGGTGGTGGTGGTGGTGGTGGTGGTGGTGGTGGTGGTGGTGGTCGCCATCCTGAACGACGGAGGCCAAACACCGATCCGAAAATGAGGCCCACGCTGCAGCGGGAGCACGAGTCGGAACGATTCGGGAGCAAAAATGAGGCCGGCACCTCAGCGAGAGCAGCATTTTGAAAAACAACGCAGGCGAAAACCCGTTTCCCGGGAATCCTTTGCGTAAAAAAAACAATACGCGGAGGGTGTTCGGCGATCACCCAACCGCCATCAGGGGCAGGGGAAGAGGGAGAGTATTTTCATATTGAGTAATTGTGGAGGGGGAGGAGGAGAAGGAGGAGGAAGAGGAGGGGGAGGAGGAAGAGGAGGAGGAGGAGGAGGTGGAGGAGGAGGAGAACCATGTACACACACACACACACACCGATCCCGGCCAGTCCCAGGATCAGTCCATCTGCCTGCCTGGCCACGCCAGGAGCGCGCGTGCACCGACCCTCGGCTAGAGAGAGGCCCGGCATGAGTCGGCGCATGCACCTGATGATGTTTTTCCCCACATCCTCAGTGGGGTTCTTGTTTTCCGAGAACATCCTCTCCTTCTCCCTCCCGCCTCCCGCCTCCCATATCAATGCCATTTCCACCCCTCCAGGGAGGCCCCGCCTGAGCGAGGAGGGTATCGGAAAACCATACTATTTACATGGTTTCGTGCCCTTCCCACCTCTCCAGGGAGGCCCTGCCTGAGCGAGGAGGGTATCGGAAAACCGTACTATTTATATGGTTTCGTGCCCTTCCCACCCCTCCAGGGAGGCCCCGCCTGAGCGAGGAGGGTATCGGAAGACCATACTATTTACATGGTTTCGTGCCCTTCCCACCTCTCCAGGGAGGCCCCGCCTGCGCGAGGAGGGTATTGGACAACCATACTATTTACATGGTTTCGTGCCCTTCCCACCTCTCCAGGGAGGCCCCGTCTGAGCGTGGAGGGTATCGGAAACCCATTGTTATTTAGATGGTTTCGTGCCCTTCCCACCCCTCCAGGGAGGCCCCGCCTGAGCGAGGAGGGTATCATAACCCATACTATTTACATGGTTTCGTGCCCCTCCCATCCCTCCAGGGAGGCCCCGTCTGAGCGAGGAAGGTATCGGAAACACATACTATTTACATCGTTTCGTGCCCCTCCCTCCCCTCCAGGGAGGCCCCGCCTGAGCGAGGAGGAAATCGGAAACCCATACTATTCACACGGTTTCGTGCCCCTCCCACCCCTCCAGGGAAGCCCCGCCTAAGCGAGGAGGGTATCGGAAACCTGTACTATTTACATGATTTCGTGCCCATTCCACCCCTCCAGGGGGGCCCCGCCTGAGCGAGGAGGGCATCAGAGACCCATACTATTTACATGGCTTCGTGCCCCTCCAACCCCTCCAGGGAGGCCCCTCCTGAGCGAGGAGGGTATCGGAAACCTGTACTTTTCGTGCCCTTCTTACTCCTCCATGGAGGCCCCGCCTGAGCGAGGAGGGTATGGGAACCCAATACTATGCACAAGGTTTCCTGCCTCTCCCTCCCCTCTAGGGGGGCCCTGCCTGCGCGAAGAGGGTATCGGACAACCATACTATTTACATGGTTTCGCACCCTTTCCCACCTCTCCAGGGAGGCCCCGCCTGAGCGAGGAGGGAGTCGGAAACCAATACTATTTACATGGTTTCGTGCCCCTCCCCCCTTCAGGGAGGCCCCGCCTGAGCGAGGAGGGCATCGGAAACCCATAGTATTTACATTGTTTCGTGCCCCTCCCACCCCTCCAGGGAGGCCCCGTCTGAGCGAGGAAGGTATCGGAAACACATACGATTTACATGGTTTCGTGCCCCTCCCTCCCCTCCCGGGAGACCCCGCCTGAGCGAGGAGGAAATCGGAAACCCATACTATTCACATGGTTCCGTGCCCGTCTTCCACCCCTCCAGAGGGGCACCGCCTGAACGAGGAAGGTATCGGAAGCCCATACTATCTACATGGTTTCGCGCTCCTCCCACCCCTCCAGGGGGGCCCCGTCTGAGCGAGGAGGGTATTGGAAACCCATTGTTATTTACATGGTTTCGTGCCCTTCCCACCCCTCCAGGGAGGCCCCGCCTGAGCGAGGGGGGTATCGGAAACCCATACTATTTACATGGTTTCGTGCCCACCTCCCCTTCGAGGCCCCACCTTTCCAGCTTCTCCTTCGTGTTGATGTTGTCGTACCCCATGGGTCCCACGAGACCGTTAATATCTTTATGTGGGGAACTCCGTTAGCATAATTGTGTGGTTTTCTCTCTCTCTCTCTCTCTCTCCCTCTCTGTCTCTGTCTGTGCCTCTCTCTGCCTCTCTCTCTCTCTGTCTCTGTCTCTGTCTCTCTCGCTGCCTGTCTCTCTCTCCCTCCTCCTCTTCCTCCTCCCCCTCCTCCTCCTCCTCCTCCTCCTCCTTCTCCTCCTCCTCCT